AGTCATTTATCTTTGGAAACCAAACCCTTTTACATTACAGCAGGTGTCCTATAGTATAGGGTGATAGTTGGCACCTTTTCTCTTCATCACTGCCCTGGACAAGGCATTAGGGTTCCATATAACTACCACTCACGATTTTGAGCATTACCAATGTTTCAACATTATTTATTACAAATTTACTGCCATTTGCCCCAGTTTTAAAATTTCCACAACCCATAAATCCCAGCACAACTACCACTATTTTTGTATCACCCACATACTTACAGCTTTCCCAACTTTGCTACTGATGTGCCACAGTTTCTTTTCACCTGGCAGGAAAACTAACAGTAGCAAATCAAATCTAATAAAAACACCCCAACAATTGATCCTCATCTACAACCAAATGCAATACTAGGATTAATGAGACAGAAGTAACTGTGGTCTGAGCATGTTGCTGCTGCTATTCAACCTAAGGGCAAAGGATGATGATGATGATGATGATAAACCAATGAAATCTGTTTTATTTAACATCTGTATTCTGCATATTTTATTTACAAATAATTTACAAACAATTTACAGAACCATTTAAGACAGGTTGAAGAACACATTTTGTCATGCAAGTTATAGTACTGTATCTTTTACATGGACTAAAAAGTACTAGCACTTATTTCTCCAAAACTGACTTACATACATATAAAATATCAGAAAAGAAACAGAAAAGCTGAAATTATTCGACATTATGCAGTTCAGCTTCAAATACATACTAGTAACTTAAAGCAGTGATATTAGTTCATCACTGCACTTGGAACATCATTACTCTCTTTCCTATGCAAAATTGTTTTCTGCTGAAATTTTACAGAGGTACTTAGCCAATTATGCTGTGGTTAAGTGGTTGGCAGGAGATGACTTGATAAATTAATGTCAACCAAATAAATTGCAACAAACCAATAATAAGGTAACAATTTCACATTTTTGAAAATGTTATCAAATCCACAATTTCTTTCACCTCTTTTAATTTTTTCTTAAAGAGATGTTGTCAGTTAACAGGTACACTCTAAAGCTTAATCTAAAAATCTCACTGGATTCACACATAAATATATAAAATACATTACTCACATTAATGAACAAGACTTAATACATTGAGATCACTGCACATTACTGAGATCTTCTCTAACAAAACAAGAATAGGCCAGGTGTAGAGTAAAGAACTCAACTAACACAACATACACAGTCACTCTTAAATAATAAGGAAGCAAATGATTAAGGAAGTTTTTTTTTCTTGACCTGTCATTACATGTATTTTTAAAATTTTGTAATGCACTTTGTGTATCTTCGTCAATTTATTTATCTATGATAATGACAGACAATCATAATACTGTTCTTTTCATGATCTTGTGGAGGGCTTTCTGTTCACAAGTTGAACTTAACAAACTTATATCTATTTTTGTACTATAGCGTGGGAGTTTCTGTTTTTCTCTTTTGAAGGTATTTTTATGTAACTGTTGTCTTAAGGTAATACAACTTATGTTAATTTATTAATCTATACATTTATATCATAAACATGTACCTGTATTAGTAACATTTTAGTGTGTGAACACCACAGATTGACAACATCAATCAGTTTTAAGTTGGAGAGTAAAATATCTAGAAGAACATAAATGATTCTTCACCAGGAAATGTTTCAAAATGTCAATTTGTTTTATAACAATAACTGTGGCTCTTGGGACAGGGTGCTTTGAGCACTTTCTCACCCAAAACTTGAAAAAGCATTGTGATTTATAAATCAAAACAAAAGCTCTCTCTATATAATAGAAAACCTCAGATTTTCATTTTAGTTTTGGCATGTAAAATTTTCTCTCCTTTTCTGAATATAAAAACTACTGCAACACTCAACAAGGAAACGACTGGTTTTGAAAAATCACTGTAACCAAATAAATTGCAACTAAATTGCTTCAACCCAAATGAGTATATTATTTATATTATCTCCATCCTCATTAACTGCTGCAACCCTCAATAATTACTCACACTTTATATAAGAGGTATGTTTTATTACTGACCATACATACTCTTTTATCTTCCTTGATCCATGACTATTTTTACTGAGCATTTCAACAGTACATGTTCATGTACTGATGTAACCCGAGTATGCTATATTGAGTGTGCTCCAAAGTTTCAACAAATGACACCACATAACAAATGACATCCAAAACTGGCCACGTTGCACATGTATGTCTTTCAGTTTTACATGGGTATATGGGAGTCTACACACTTACTAACTGCCAGTAAATAAATAGCTTGAACTTTCTAAAGACTTGCAACAACATAATGACCCTTGTTGTTCAGTATATATCCATCCTCAGATATCTTAGCATGGTATTTTGATACAGAATCTGTAAAAGTTAGTTGGTAAAGAATACTGTTAGTTATGAAATACTGTGAGTTATTTATTAAAGGAAGACAAGTGTCAAAGCGTGTTTAAGAGTCTGCAAATGCAAAGCAAGCAACCCCAGGAAAGCAAATTATTTTTACTACTCCCCTACATTCAATTCATGCAGCATACATCACTCAAAATACCAAACAAGAAACAGTATGTCAACACATCAAATAGAGTTGATCAGTATAACTTGATTCTTTTCCTTTAAACTTATATGTACTCCTATGATTTAAAACTACTTGTAAGTTAACTTTAGTTGACAACACAAAAATGTGAATGAAATACAACATGGTAAGCTGTAAACTGAGGTTGTAAGGGACAGGTATGATAAGAAGGAGGCACTGGTAACTGTATATATATTATTATTATTTTATTCATTAGGGCTAGGTGCCAAATTAAGGTCAAACTTATTGATACACTTCAATAAAGTTGCATGTCATGGCCAGAACTTTTCTTGTCCCCTTCAGGTAAAAAATTTGCTGAGTCATGTGGCATCTTACAAGTGACCATGTTGTTATTTCATGACCTGGTGAAAGCCTAGCTTATCACAGCATTTCTATTTACTCAATCAACAGACGCATGTAATACTTATCAAGTCATAAATTGAGGGTGGAGTACTGCGTAGTATACAGTTCAATTTCTCTGTAAACTAGTTTAAGCAAGTTTAACTGATCTTAAGAGTTACATATAAATTCCAAGACAGTTGCATCTCAGTAGTAATATGAAAATCATATTGTCTTTTATTTCTGTACAAAACTGTTTATACTGTTTTGTTAAAACCCAAAATTATTCTTTGAAGAAAGAAAAAAACTATGGTGAAAGAAGAGAATAATAATTTACTTTTTTTAAAGAGAACTGCATGGATATTTATGTATAACTCAATAAGCACGACAAAAGCATATCTAGCAATATAATCATCATCCAACATAATAAATACTAAAACTACTAAAAAAGATGCCTCTTTCATGAAACATCATTTCATCTATCAACAATTAGAATAAACCCAGATCTTTCATTCCCCCATAATCCTTGTCTGTATCAACCACCAGCAGCAGGCAAAAGAACGGGATTTATTCAGATCAATTATTCATCATCATAAAACTTCATAATATAATGATCCCACTGAAAACTGTGCACAACAGTTATCACAACATAGATTTTCAAAACTGAATAGAAAAATAAAGACATATGGTAACTATGATTAATTTTTCTATTAAAGCAGATTTAAGATATTGAGATATACTGACAATTTCTACGCAGGTGAAGATAAGTTTTCAGTGTCATCTGGTATTAGTTGCATCCCAACAGGTTATAGATATTAGTAGACACCACAACCCTTGGGTAGTCAGGCAAACTGAAGAAATAAAACCATGGGCAAGACTGTCAGGAAAGAATTCAAAACAGCATCGCAGCTTTATTTAAATAATAAAGTTATGGCTTCCACTGTTTTATTGAAACAGAAAAAAAGGAGCACCAAAGTAAACAGATCCTTGAAATACACTCTTGTGATAGTCCAAATTATAGACCAAGAATATTTTCACACATATCCCTCATCCCACCAAAATGAATAGCACGCCACTTAGAAATAAGCTTGTGTTATTAATGCAAGAATAAGCCACAGAAAATTAGGCGTAATATTAGCAGTGAGTATTATTATGTTTCACGCTGCCAGATACCCTGATACTTAATGTGGTACCTTGGATTGGTTACTGATAATACCACTGAAGATGAAAGACAACATTATTTTTCATACACCATTGAACATGACAAATGCTAGGGACCAAAAATGGTTTCAGCTGCTCTACATTATTTTCTAGGTAAGTTCCATAAGAAGCTCTTGGGTGAGTCCTTCAACACCATGTAGACCTAGATCTGCAGGCACTGATTGACCTAGATATAGTGGCAGTATCTTCTCCAAGCTGGTGTACTGTCCGCCATATTATTTAGTAGTTTTTCAGAATGAGATTGGACCAATCTTGCCCATGTTTTAGTCATTGCAATACCTAGGAATAGGAGAAAGATACCTAGTTTTCTTTTTAAACTAACCAGCATGCTACTGTTATTTAAGAATGAAGAGTACTCTGTAGCTGACATGCTATAGTAAACTTAAAGAAGATAAAAGCAATCTCATGAAAAAGAGAAAAAAAAACTGCAGTTGTGGCAATAGTTACAGATGCAACTACCTTCCCCCCCCCCCCCCCACCCCACCTTCATTGCCTTGGGATACCATTAGTTAATCACTCAAGATAAGACCTGATGGGGCAAAAATGCTGATACTTGACTAAAAGCACATATACTTTCACTTTTTTTGTGAAATCTAATATGACTTAAATGCTAATCTTGGTGCCAATTTAAAGGCAGTCAATTATAATTTTAATCAAATATAAATTCATTTCTGTAATCAAGCATGAAGCTGGATTGTTTTTCAATTGTAATTTCAAGACTGATTGTGATATTCAATCAATGCCTGAATCAAGCTGCATTTGAAGCTTCTCTTCAAATACTATTGCAAAGCATGAATTTAACATTTTTCCTCATTGATTGCAAGGGATCAGTGATGTGCAAAATATGAGAAGACTGCAATTACTTAGTGCACGGCTCCATCCCAATGCATACGCCGTGTCCACTACGACCACATGACATGTTGGTCACTTCTGTCCACTCATTTCGGTCAGGGTTGTAGCATTCTACTGATGATAGGAAGTCATTGCCATCATAACCACCTGCAATAAAAAAGTGTTTTTTATCTTTATTTTTTTCTTTATAACATAGTTTTTACTTGTACATTGTAATACAGGTAAAATGTCATACATTATTTAAAAAAAACAAAAAAACTGATTTGCTTATTTATCACAGCTGACATAAATTCTCATCAAGTCAAAACTACTGAAGCTGACTTGTACCATCAGTGTAAATGTCTTTTTTGTGCAGTTACATAAGTAGGTGAATTGAAATGCTATCCTTTTGTAGCATGTATGGAGCTAAATATATAAAGAATACAGGTCACTTTCAAAGCACAAATTTTCTGCAAGTCACCCTGGATTGTTACTTGGCATTATCAGGGACAACACTTACATAACATCCCTCTAGTTTCTTTAGGGTGTATTCCCCTTTAATACAACTATTTAAAATGATTTATCAAATCAAAATGTCTAGCTTTACATAAGAATTTTACACACCACTTTGCAACATAACATGAATTGACGCCTATTGTGCCATGACAACAGAGCTACTCACTAATGCCTATCCTAGGGAGGAACCCAAGGATAAGAAATTATTTTCTGTGCTTTGATCAGCAACCAGCAACCAGAAGACAAGTATAATTCTACTAGTACTTTTATATGTAGGGCACTGAGATGAAACAATGGCATGATATTCTCTTATTGAATTTGATATACAGTTGTCTTTCTTCTTCTTCTTCCATTTTTTATCTATCTATTTATTTATTTATTTATCTATTTGTTTGTTTTTTTGGGAGGGGGAGAAAAGGGGAGTTCCAAAGCTGGGGGGTGGAGTGGGG